CGGTGTTGCGCCTGGTTTTACATAATTTAACCTTCTACTCCGTTACACATAAATGCAAATTGTACGAATACCATATATGATTACCGTAATATATTTAATCTTATTTAGATAATTACATTATCTCTTTCTGTAATATATCTACAATAGCAGTTTTTTAGTTTTACAGGTTTTCTTCAGGTCCAAAGGCCGATGGGCACACAGACAGTTTACCCTCCGGATCACACGGTGGCGCTGAATCGCCCAAACCTCCAAATGTCTGTGGCATAAAGGACAAAGAAGAAAGAACAGGGAAGAGGAAGCCTACAGATGTGACACCATCCTCTTTAATCTATAAAGGATGTCGCTGCCACTGGACGTGGTGTTCTTGAGGGCCAAAAGAGGGTTAAAACAGCAACAGTAAGAATTTAAACTGTGGCTCAGCAGCTGATAAAACACTTGTTGGATTTAGTTAATTTAGGTGTTTTTGTTGTGTGTGCATTAGAAACCTGCTCAACAACACTTTTATTAAATAGGACGAAAACTTTTTCGAATGGCAATCTTTTAGCAGTGGACTCTGATGAGTCATCTTTCGGGTTTTGGGTCGATAAGGCTTTAGATACTGGGCACAGTTTCTCTTTTTAGTTATTTAAGGTTTACCCTGAGAGTTTAGTGGTTTAGTAAGTTCTGGAGGCACAGTGGCACGTTGTGTGCTTTTTATCCCTCTAACAATGAAGCAGGAGGACAATGGTGGAGGCGGCCTGACTTCCCCCATCATGGAGGAGGGACACAGACCTCCACGTGGCAGAGGTGAGGAACAGGAGCACGTGCATGCCGTTGATTCAGGTGGAACATTGCGTGCTTCCGCATTTACGTTTTCTAGGAATGAAATGAAACAAAATGGAGGGCATTTCTCCCTTTCTGAGACAAAGCTGCTCCAAGAGCTCCCTGACAATCTTCTGGACAGTTTTAGAATGAGCTTTTCCTGAGTTTGTCTTGCATGGCCGAATTCTGTACTACTTCTGAGATAGTAAATACAGTCAGACACCATGCTAAAGTATTGTTTTCACACACTGACTCAATAGGATCAGGATGCTCATCATGCACCTCATTCTAATGTCAGACTGACAACAGCAACGCTTCACTAACCAGAGGATCTCATTTTTTATTTTGGTTTAATTGTAATCAGCCCGTATTACCAGATTAGTGCAAATATTGTCTTGTTTTTAAAAAGGGTCAGCGCATGTCCTGATTAAAATGCAGGATTTGTTGACTAATCTGCTCTAAAAGTCTGCCACTTAATCTTGAAGTTGACCTTCTTTTTCTTTATTTTTCCAGAATGTCCTTCATTAGACTTTTCAGCAACAGGGTGACCATTGTTTGCCGCCTCTGACTTCTGGGCTGTGAGGATTGGCCTTGCACAGAATGGTATGTTTTGACTCAACACAAAGGCACACAACTTGATTATCATTCTGAGCACTGAGGAAGGGCCTGGAGGCATGGCAGAATTCTGTCCCAGCTGCAGTGTGCTGGTTACAGTCAGACACCATGCAAAAGCATATTCTTATTCCTACTTTCTGACTGGACCAGAGCTTCTTCCAGCCTTGTCTAGATGTAAAGGAATGAGTACAGCGCTGATGCTTAGCCTTTGCCATGGGTTTTGTAGCAGTTTTCCTTTTGTTAATTGATTTATTTTTACGTTGCAGGGCACCCACTGACTGCTAACAAAACGGGACTGTGGGAAAGCTGATCCTTCCCCTGTGGTAACTACCTCTGTCGGTGTCTGTTGAAGTGGAATTTTATTCTCTGCTTTTTTCATTTAAGGTTGAAAAAAATTATAATGCACCTAATGAATAAATGGACGTTCGAATCTCACATTTTACAACTCTATTCCCTTTTAATGTTGATTATTTAAACATTTTCTAAATCCCCATTCACTGGATCAAGGTTTCACCACCAAATACTTTTGTTGTTGTATCGGGGTAAGTTTGGCTGCTATACATTCATAGCCAAGTTTGATCATTTTCATGATGTTTTTGTTGTATTTTTCCACTTGTGACTAATAAAGAACTGAGATAAAACTACTCTGTGTATTGAGTGTCTTCATTTGATTTTAAAGCCGTCGGGCGCCTAAACATACAGCATTCCAAAAGGACTCATCTCTAACACCATCTGGTTTTTAACTTAATGCACATTTTAATAAATACATTCAAAGCATACATTTAGAAGTGCTTACATTGGAGCTGTTGCCAGTACAATAAGTGAAACAGTGTGTCCTGTAGAATTATCCTGCAAGTCTGTTAAAGCAGCTAAACTATGAAGATTATTTCCAAGGTCTGTAGTCAAGATGTCACATTTCTGGAAAGTATTTGTGTCTTTTAAGTTTTTTAATTAAAATAGCATAGATCCTAATTTGAAATATACTTTCTACTCTTAAGTCCACACATTAGAAAGTATAATTGAGACATTGGAGGCCACGCAGTGTCCAGCGTGGTGACTGAGGAACTGGCCCTTTAGCTACATTCACTTTAATCCGTTGGACATTTACATTAAGCGGAGCATGCTCAAATCTACCTCATCCCACTGTGCCGCCCAGTTTAACCAGTTCACCTTTTTCATGCGACGACATAACCGCGCATCTCAAGTCTCTGCGGGCTCGTTACCAGCCTGGTTGGCCCTGCTCGTCGGCCTCGGAGGCGATGGCCAGCAGGATGGCCTTTGGAGAGTTCTCGAAAAGTGCAGCTCTGTTCTGAGTTTGGCCCTTCTTGACCCAGTGGCCGTAGATCTTGAAAGCGCAGGCGTCTATGAGCTTGCGGATGGGCTTGACCGCGTACGGGTCGCTGCCGATCACCTCTTTGGTGACGGGCTTGGCACGCCGGTAGTTGCAGTAGATGCGCATGGTAGCGAGCACAGTCATACAGATAACCTGAGAGAGAGAGAGAGAGAGAGACACTGGTTATCGACCTTAAATACACATTTTTTACCCCATTCTCTCAACCAGTCGCACTGTTTGTGGTTGTAAATCAGATGATTGGATGCAAATATGTAAATGAATCAATAGTTGAATAAACATTTATGGATCTATGAACTTGAAAAGTTTTCTTTAACAAAATGTACTAATGAAATAAAGGCCCACTGTAAGTAGCCGTGTAGATCACAAGTCTAAAGGATTCATTTGTGTGTCGTACACACAGCTCACCTTGAACCGCCTGTAGGGACTGAACTTTCGCACTTCGTTCACTTTGTACTGGGAGAAGAAGGAGTGGTTGAGAACTTCTGTCGCCGTGAAACGCTTCTTGGGATCCACCACCAACATCCGAGAGATCTGGAAAAAAAAAAAGCATGGTGCCTTTTGAAAATCAAGTGATTAAAACCTCTACCTCTCCAGCGTATGACTGGCTTGTTCAAAAAAAGCAAAACCAAAGGCAGAAAATCAGAATTAGTTTATTAATCCATTGTGGGAAATTCCTTTTTTTGCAGTGCACCCATTTACAGAAGAAAAAAATTTAAATAAATAAACTTTACAATCAACAGTATTTACAAAGCTGCTCAGTGTCTTAATTACTGTTAAATAACCACCTACCAAATCCTTGACGGTGTCTGAGCGGTCCTCCCACTCTGGAGATGAGAAGTCGTACTTCCCCGCCAGGATCATGCGCAGCATCAGCATCTGTTTCCGGTGCCAGAAGGGCGGAGAGCCCGCCAGCAGCGTGTACATGATGACGCCTGAGCTCCATCTGCAAACAGGAGCCAGAAGACGGCTGAGTTTACGAAGCCTCTCACTGTGTATGTGAAACATCCAGGAATCTTGAGGAAATTGATTTAAAAAAACAACTTTTTTTTCAAAAAAGGGACAGTGATGCTTCAATTAGTGATCTGAACATAATATCTGGCTCCAGTCACTTCCTAATGTTGGTTGTATAGATTACTTTTATGTAACTGAGCGCTCACATGTCCACAGCTGTACCGTATCCCGGGTGTCCTGCGTCCATGGAGCACTCGATGATCTCAGGAGCGAGGTATCCAGGGGTCCCGAACACCTCTGAAACACATACAAGTTAAAAAATAGCATCACTTCATGTGAAAAATAATGCAGAACATTTCCTTTTCTCTTAAAATTTTCACTCAGAGAGAACCATGAATAGTTTTTTTTACATTTGAACAAGTTAGTTTATATTCTGAACAGAAAACTACAAAAGCTGTAAATGAAGGGAAAATTTGACATTTGGAATAATCTTAAGATAAACTTTATGAACAAAAATTCCCTGTCCTACATGAATCATTCACAACCTCAAACTCAGGTGCCCCATGTTTGTCCCTCTGGGTTGGACTGAGCTCTCTGAAGCGATCGAGAAAAGACACGTTGATTCCCTCTGGGTCTGGCAGCGGGTTGAATGGGATTTAAGATGAATTCAAAATGAATTATTCCAATTCAAGTGAAACCATCTGCGAAGATACAGGCAATCCGCTAAAACTGAGCCCGAAGGTAAACGGTTTGATGCGCAAGAAGACCTGATTATGCCAACGATAAACTAGTAAGGACCTGTCCTGTCTGAGAATGCCACATCTTATCAGAGCATACTGGAAGAGAATGTGGAGCCATCTGTCTGAAAGCTGAACTGATAGTTGAACTTTCACCTTTTCGACAGGGTGAGGATCCCAGGGAGTTACAGACAAAACCTGAATATCTTTTATCTTCCAGGCTGTTTGCATTGTGATTGTGATAAAGAGTTGTTGAGTGGATGTTGGACACTGGTTTGTTCCCCCAGAAATCCCTACTGGAGCGCAGAGGTAAACACAAACCAATATTTGAGTTGGCATGTGTGGTCACATTTTTGTGTTTGTAATACATTTTTAAAAATGGCCAATTTCCACAGGATGAGCTCATCATCCTGCACTAAACACAGTGAAAAAATCAAAACACTGCCCATAGCACGTCCATTAAGCCAAGCATTTCAGAGAACGTCCACATTAGAGTCTTCACCTGAATGCAGTTGAATGGAAACTCAACAAACTGACCGGGAACCCCTCCATTAGGACCCTGACCTGCCAGTTCTCTTAAGCTTTCTGAGAAGTCCGTTTCAAAGGTCAGCGCGCGGCCGGCGTCTTCGGCTGCAGCGCACGGATCAGAGTGTCCTGTGCCGCTCGGGGGGGGGGGGGAAGCATGTTGTGCAACTAGATCCAGATTCTCCATCAACCACCAACAGCTGGTGGACCAACCAGCCCAGTGCGGGCTGTAAAGATAGCAACTTTACAGGCGGAGGACATGTGGATGTGCCAGGACAGAACTTCTGGCTGCTTTAAGTCAACTCCAGACATTTCCAGTAAATGTAGGGGGAAAGGTGATACTTTGGATCAAGAGGAGGTCAATGAGTTGCTTTGGTGATGTGGGGGACGCCTGTTTTCAGGTTTGCAAACCTTCCCTCACCGTTGAGCGTCTCTCCCGGCTGGATTTGCACCGCGAAGCCAAAGTCGGTGAGCTTGATTTTCATGTCGTCATCCAAAAGGATGTTTTCAGGCTTCAGGTCCCGGTGGACTATGTTTTGGGCGTGAAGATACTGGACCACCTCCAGCAGAGCGCGCATGATCTTTCTGAAACACAACAGACAGGAATGCATCACTCACAGGAAATGCCCCCCCCCCCCCCGGACCGAACCGTTAAAGGCGCCCACTGACCTGGTCTCCTTCTCACTCAGCGTGACTTTCTCAGTGAGGTAGTCGAAAAGCTCCCCCCGCTTCATTCTGGAGGAAAGAAAACCAAACGATTGAGGGGGCTGCTTCTCGTTGGTGGTGTGAGCGCATGAATGAAAAACGGGACGCTTACAAGTCAAAGACCAGGAAGAAGAAGGCTTTGGACTCATAGCAGTCCTTGAGCTGAACTGGAGATGAGAATTCAATCAGTGAGTGGATCAGTTGGGAGTATTGTCCGGTATCGGAGGACAAAGGCCAGACAAACTGTCCCAATCCGGGCTCTTTGGGATACGCGGCCGGAGCTTACTGATGTTTTTCTGTCCGTAGACCTTCTTGAGGATGTCGATCTCCTTCACCGTGGCTTGCCGTATCTCCTCGATCTCCTCCGGACTCATCTTGTCGGAGGGGGTGATGTCGATGATCTTTACCGCGTACTCCTGAGACGAGCGCTTGTCCACACAGCGGCGCACCACGCTGCTCACTCCCCTGAATCAGAGGCAAACACACCGGCCTTTACATCGACAGACGGAGGGGTCCCAGCACAGATGGACACATGAGGGAACGTGAACGTTTGTGATGTTGCATAATCACTGAGAGGAGACAAAACTACGAACAAAGAATCCACTTTTGAATCCATCATGCATGTTCCATTATTGGTTAATAATCAGGGGAACATACAGTTTGGATAAAGTGCTCTTATAAGCTTATGAGGCCGTAATAACTTCAGAATTAAATAATGAATCTAAACTAAGTTCTTTTTTTTTCTTGTTTGTGGAGCCAACCACAAAGAGTGAAGTATGTCTATTGTTCATGTGTCCCCCTGACCCCCTTTTGTGAAAAATGAGGTGACATTACGTAATGAATAAAGAACATTCCTCCCTGGCCGTCTCCACTGAAGCTTTGTCCACAACAGGCTAAAGGCAGGGAGCACTGAGCCTTATGTAACAGCACCACCGTCTGACAGCTGCTGGGGAATGACAACTAGCAGGCTCTGACCTTGCTCACATTTCCCAGAGCCTCTAGGGAAACTTCAGGGAAGCCTTTTCTACTCCTTTTACGGTGGATTGACTCTGCTCAGTGGTTTCCACTGGCAGCCAAAGTTCTGCAGGACTGTTTTGACCGTTTGTCACTTAAAGAACATTTCGTCCATATTCACCATAATTGGTGACGCATGCCGTAATGGGCGTTTTCCAAACATACCTGCCCAGAATCTCCTTGGGCTCATACTTGTCGTAGAACTCCTTGGCTCCCACCCAGTCGGGGATTTCCTCCTCTTTGGTCATGATGGAGCAAGGTAGCACCCAAAGTATGGAACTGCTGTCGTCTTACAGCTGGAAACGGGCAGCAGAAGACAGATTCCCTCAAAAACAACGCAGACACAACTCAAATCACCACGTTTGTTGAGATGAAAGCAACTCTCAATGTGATCGAACTGGAACGATGTGATGATAAGTCTTCGGGGGGAAAAAAATAGTTTAAATGCGTTACGTGTATGCCAATCATCGCCTCGTTAAATACTAGACTGCGTAATGCCAGACTTTTAAGTCTGATCTACCCAGATCTGTCACGCCGTGGTTTGTAGGCACGTTACTTCCAGAAAAACACCGTCAGACGTCAAAGCGGTGCATTGACAGGCGAGGTGCCACCATGTGAGAGCTGATCTGTGTCGCTTTACCAGCTGCCCTAAAGCAGAAAACAGGGGGAAACAGGCGCTCACTCACCGTGTCCGTCAGTGCCTGGTATCACGGAGGATATCCATCACTCAGCTGACCCCGATCCTGTCCGACCACTAACAAAGAGCTCCTGTCAGACTGGGACACCGTCTCGGGTTCGAGGGGTCGCTGCTGCCATGTTGCAAAAGGGTGAGCCTTAATGTCAGATGCCAAAAATAAACGGCTGCCTCCGCAGCAGCTCGCCCTGCGCGCGTAATAGCCAGACCCCCAAAAAGAAATGTTAAGAACAAAAACCGACGGTAAGCTGCTTCCTCTCCTTCCAAACGGAAGTGCAGTTTGTAATCTGTGTTTTTTCCCTCGGGTCTGAAGGGACACGACAGGTGTGGCAGCCCCACTCTGTGGCTCTTAAATTCTACCTCCAGAACTGGGACCAAAATAGCATCATTTCAGTGAAGTAATGTGGTCTGTGTTGAGAGGGGACGAAATGAATCACCTCATGTCTTTCAGATCAAAGTACTTTTTTATTTTTTTTATTTTTTATTACAGATCAGGTTTGAGCATTGTTGTTTCAGGAGTTTTATTTCACACATGTTGAGTTACTTGAGTAAATTTAAATTAAAAGCACTGATGCTGAGGAACACACCGTGAAAATTACCGCTAGCTCAAAACATGACACACTAAAATATATAAACATTATTTATAAGACTAAGATTACAAGCTCTGCAGCAGTCTCCTCACAAACGAATGAAGTTGTCTGGTGGTAATCAACTGTCGAAAAAAGCATGTTTATTGATTGATCCCTCTGAACTGACACCCTGCTACTATCTGGTACGCCGCGTGATGCTCACTCTGCAGGACTCTGGAATCCGTCTCAGGACATACCTGTGGAGGAGACAAAAGGTAAGATGAGGTAAGGTTTCCTCATGGGTTTGATTAACTGCGTGGTTAAAGAGCCCCTCCCCCTCATGGCCACACAGAGTACTGCTGCAATGTGCAAAGTCATGGTGCTCAAGGTGAGAATGATTAAACTCATGTGTGAAGATTCCCTGTTTTCCAGAAATAAACTTTACAAATTGAAACATTGAATGGATGGGGCAGAAAATAGGAGCATGAATATGTCGCAATGATGCCAGGCAAATGAAGAAAACACTGAAGACTTTAATACTCCACAGACCCTCGTACAAGGGGCCACATTTATATCAGCACTCACCATTAGCAAACTTGCACTGTTTGAGCACCTCGCTGAATCCCTCACACAGTTTCAGGTCACTCTGGTTTGTGGCGCATTCAACGAACTGCTTGAGCTCGTAGGAGCAGGACTGCTCCTGCTGGGGCTGCTGCTGGTACATGGACTGTGGCTGTTGGTGCGGCTCCTAACAGACACAAGGCCGACATGCTCACTGACATGTTCACCTATCTACTATAAATGTGTGTTTTAAAAAAATAAGAGACTATGTTTATATTTCTAAGAAGCAGGGATTTTTGTATAAAAATCAAATCTTTAATTAAAAAAAAAAAAAGCAACTTGTAGTTTGTGGTAATGGCTCTTAGTGGAAGACTAGAAGTTTTCTTCCAACCACTTTAAAATCCACCAATTTCTAATGCTACCATGTGAGGCTGATAAGTATCTAAAACCAACAACCTCCCATGTTGTTTTCATGAAGGCTTTACTGTTTATTTCACCGACACCTCTAACAGACCTGCCAGGTGTTAAATTCACTAATCTTTTTCCGGTTACTATTCTAGTCCCGAATTTACCTGGTATGTGACATCAGGCTTGGCAGGCTCCGAACTTCCTCCACCGAAGCCTCCAGTCAGGGCATGGCCGATGGTGTGTCCCACTGCAGAGCCCACGGCCACCCCAGCAGCGGTAGTCGCCATCTGGGCAAACATCCCAGGCTGCCTGGGCGCCGCCATCGGTGCCCCCACAGCAGACGGCGGGGCCTGCATTGGCATCGGGGCATGGGAGGGGGCAGGGGCACTGGCCATAGGTGGAGGGGGTGCCCGACTGTAGAGAAAATATAAATAATAATAAATAATAATCAAATGCAACAAAGTCAAGAGCTGAGCCACTCCTCAGACAATAACTGGAGGGAACAACTCCTTCAACACATGGCCTGTTAAGAAAAAGTTGTCCGCACTCCTTGACTGCATTTAATAAGCTTTTTTTGTAATAATAAATCAAAAGACCAAGCTTCAAGACCCTTTTCTGATTTTGCCTCTCAAAAGGAAAATGACTGTCAAACAGCAGTATATTTGATTACGTGATGATGTGAAACATGTAGCAGACTGTCTGGTGTCATTTAGGGTCGCTGATACCAGGTTGTCTCCAGACTGTTACGCAACTGAGCTGGGGTGAGGGACTTTTCATTAAGTGGGTTAATGCACAGCCTCAAAAGCCCAAAGTTTTCATGTAAACACTCGAAACCAGGTGAAGGTAATATCCGAAAATGGCCAAACCAGAGAAGTAGATATAAAGGGGATAATTCAATTCAAGGTACTGTAAGTAAGTAAGTAAAGTACTGCCTGAATATGTAACAAAGTCATAACAATGTCATTCAGAGATTGTCCACTACAAAGGCTTTAAACATGCCTTAGAGTTAAAGATTTATTCAAGTTTGAAAATGAGAAGAAACAAACCATTTACTCACAAACAGTTTATAAACAGTAAAATACAGAGATTTAAATAAAACTATTATATAACCTTATGCGTCAGCATAGCTTCAGTGTAAACTAACCTAATTTTACATAGTTAAAGTTTTATTTAATGGATCTTTCTAGAAATGTTGACAATGTGGTGAATGCATGATGCAAGTTGGACAATGACCTTTGTTACTCTGTCAATGACGTTTGAACCGACACAATGTTTCCGATTAAACTGAAATAGTTTAACATATGCAGAGATCATATTTAAGGGTATCCACGGTGGTAAACCACAGCACAGTCCTGTCAGCCTCGGGGCCACACTACACTGTAACGTTGGCTGGGTCTTAGCATCTATGCTAGCCTACGCAACATGCTCACAACGCTAAACAACTTCCAATAAATGACATTAAAATAGTTTGTCACCTGGCAGGGGCGGGCATCCTTGATGTTCGGCTTCTGCTTCCTCTTGGCATTTTTAATAACAAAGTTGGTTAAGTCGTATGTTGGGATTCGTGTGTCGCAGGTACTCTGGGACTGTCTAAGCCGTGTGCACTTTTATATCGACCTTTACTTAATCCGGAACTTTCCACGTGTTACATCAGTTACGTCTCGGGTAACTTCCGGTGTAACGGAAACAATTTCGTAATTTAAATGCTCGACTACTTATTTATCCAAAATGCATTATTAGATGGGTTTATTATATTATATAGTACTTTTATGGATATAATACTATAATATATGTGGGTTTTTAAAAAAACAGTCTTAAGCACATGTAACTGTCAGAACAATGACTTTGAAAGGAATTTCCGTCTGCCCGAGTTTTGCATTCTTTATCTAGAATCCTTCTTACTTCTCTTAGTCGGGGCTCCTGGTAATTTAAGCAGACATTAAATGAAACAGTAAATTTATCAGCTGACTATTTTAGATACAAATGTGTGAAACAATTAATTACATTTAGGATTTTAGAAAAAATTAAAAAAAGGAAAAAGATATACTATTTTCTGTTGTACAGTACTGCACTGAACAAAGTTATAGATGAAAAAGATGGTTAAAGGCTGTTCAACCAATCGAGGATAATACAAAAATGAAACATATATATATATGTTCATACAAATATATATATATATATTAGTTTTTTTTTTTTTAATGACATCCAACTGAGATTTACTCAATAATTGGATATTCTTTTATGTGTGCCTTAAGCATGAAGAGGTTGCCTCATGAAATGAGATTAGGTTTGATTTTAGCACAAATTTTTCTCCAAAAACAAAAATTAAATATTACATTGTAAGTAAATTGTGATAGTGGGACTGATTTGAACACAAGGACATTACTCATGTAGCATAACAAGTCTGCGTTTCATAGGTTTATTCTTGGACAAACAGCTGGTCTTATTTTTCCATTCTGTTTTCCATTCTATGATCAAAATATTACAAAAATATCTGGTCATACACCAGTGAAATATAGCAATGACAAGCGTTGTCATAATCATTTGCACATAGTTATGTACATGTAACTATAAATCATACGTTAATTCCAATTTTATTTCAAAACAATAATTTAAACTAAGAAAATTATTATTTATTTAACAATTTATTAAGTAAAATTGGAAATATGAGGAAAGTTACTCTTTTTTCCCTTTCTTTTTTCTTTGGCGGTTATGGTGTCCACCTCCTTTTCCCCATCTGTTTCCTTGTGTTCTTCGCTCTCCCCATGATGGCATGGGCGGCTCAATCTCTCCTGGCCGCCCTCCTCTGTCTGGCACGCTGCCCATCAGTGTCTTGTGAAAGAAAAGACGGTTATAAAACAAAAGATAAAAATGGAGGAGTACCTCTAGATTCCAGACGAAGTCTAGAAAGCCAGTTGTACCTTGTAGATGGGTGTGCTTGTTCCAGCTTTGACTGGCTCAATGAAAGATTGATCTGCTCTGGAAGCCAACAGAAGACTCAGAGACACTTGGGAGGATCCAGTGAGGGATGCAAGAGGAGGCACAGAGGCTAGAGCCACACTGCGTTCCTGTGAATGAAAGACTCTCTGAGGTAGGTTGTCTGATTTCATCATGTTTCCTCACATAAGTAAAACAACAAATAGAGGTGTGATAAGCAAAAAGAAGACATGAGGCCTTGCCCTTGACAGCGAGCTGTGTTTCTGTTGCGGGGTGAATTTGCTGGCACAATTTGAGTATGATTGTCCTCAGAGACAGAGGGTCCAGGGCAAAATAATTGAAAGATATTCTAAGCCCCTCTTTCCCACTATGAAACATTTCCCTTTTAATTTTTCAATCTCTCCACAGTTGATAATGTCTGCATCCATGGGAAAAAAAATGTGAGACTATGCATTGAGATGCTAAACATGATGTGAATCTTGTGTACCTTCTGTTTTTCTCCCCACGCAAATGACTCAAGCGTGACTTGAAAGCGTTTGATCATCATGTGTCGCCGGCACTTATAATCGTCAGACAGAATCTGATTGATCTCTTTCACTTTCATCTGAGAAACAAAATGGGATATATATACATTTGAGATTTATATGTGATTTGTGACAAAGTGAAAATAGTTGTGCAAACTTACCCAATGCTCTGAGCTGAGGGGGCTGTTGAGAAGGGGACTGGTCATGTCTCCATCTGGTAGTTGAGAGAGCATCGATTTCACCTGCAATAAAACAAAAGTTAGGATTGTGTTGGACTGTCTCGTTTTGAACGACTTACTAATATTACCTGTTTTATGCAGCTTACCTGACTCAGAACATCGTCAAATTGAGAGGAAGCATCCAAACCGAGGGCACGTAGAATCAATATCCACTCTGCTTGCATCTCTGCCTTCCTTCTGTTAGTGTCTAAGGCATCGCTGTCTCCATGTCCCTGACAGCTCTCAGCAACATCATCCAGGGGGCCTTCCACTCGCTGATCTTTCACTGTCTCCTCTCCTGTGGAATGTTCTTCAGGATGCAATTCCATATGCTTGATGATGCGAGCTGCTTGCAATTCTGCCACAAGGAACTCTAGAGTATTGTTCCAGCAAACAAGAAAAGGGGTAAATCCAAAATCATCTGATACCAAAAATCATACTTTGTTCCTCACCGGTGACATTGCTGAGGACCGATGGTTCCAACACCTCTGTGGTCAGCATAAGGGGGTAAAACAGGCTGGAGAGCAACTGTCGCAGCTCGCCCACCAGCAAGACCTTACCTGACATGCAAGAGTCTGAAAATATGAAAAGAAAAATGAATCTTTTACAACCCACGTTATTTCAAATGAACTAAAATGTTCTGCTGAGATGAAAGCGTCGGTTTATATTTTTTCACTGGTGATAAAACTTTACATGATTAGGCATCAGTCAAAAACAATTACACAAATACAATAATTAATTTGAAAAAAGATTTTCGTGGTGGACAATGTCTGACGTAGATCAATTACAACGTGCATGTAGACAAAAACATTACGGTGTGTCGCCTTTTTGTTTTTATTTCTGCACCCATACATTCAATCAGCCTCTAATATGTTCTTCACGAAAAACATATGCAGCTTTATTCATTTTCATAAATACCACATCATTTCAGGTGTAACAGCACATGAGAGTGTTTCATGCTGACACCCATAGGGACATTTCTAGTCAATTGAGGACAGGTAAACAACTGAAGTCTTCCAGAGTGGGATGTAACTAAGAATGTGTACCATCTTTAGCCTGCGGGTCGTGGCTGACTAAAAGCACCTTAGGGCTGAGGCTCACCTCGCAGCTCCGGACAGACGGCCCGGAGCTCCGCGGACAGCCAGCTGACCAGCGGACAGGGCAGCTCGTCACACCTGCACCGCGCGAGGCAGGAGCCGCCCGGGTACCTGGACCGGAAGTGAAGACGACAGGAGAATTCACCTGCATGGAAAGCTTCATACTGAGATAAATGTTAAGAGAAAGGGTCAGCTCATGCGATAACATTACCTGCCATTACGCTTAAACCCGTTCCCATAACAGCAATAGTGACGGTAAGCGAGAATAAGAAAAAATGATTTACCCAAGAGTTTTGATAGCCGAAACGGTCTTTGCGCTCCTCTCCATAGTCGCTGTTACAGTAGGTGAAAGATTCACATGGGAGGCCGTGTCTCTGCTCGAACTGCAACACAAAGTTGGGGCATGTTTACAAACTGTACTTCCTGCTTTGGCTGTCTTTAAATGTATAGCGTCTACCGCCCCCTGCTGGCCGGAGTAGCGCAGACAGGAAAAAAAATACTGGATTGTCATGTCCAATAGAGAGTAAAAATAAAAACAACATGTTTTGATACCATCTTTCACATATTTGATTTTATTTCATAAAGGTACATTTCATGGAATATGGAACTTAGTTTTCTCTTTTGGCAATGTCTCCATAGGGGGGCAGTAAGGATCCAACATCGACTAGTGTTATAGTAAAAATGTTAAAAACGCAAGAGATGGGTTGAGGAGATGTGTATTTACTTCAGCTTCTTAAATTCTACAACTGTATAGAATTTCAAAATATTCAATTGAGTCCTCAAAATTTACTCTACTCAATCCTATGGTAATGAATTTGCTGTGGATCTATAGACATCTCTGTGTTCATCCAGTGATTATTCTTAAAAGTATCCAACATTTCTAAATAGAGGAGAACAAATTAACCTAACTGTACAGTAAACAAAAAGCTAAACCCAACTTTGCTTTCTGTGGATTCTTTGCTAGGTCTGATTTGAGATCATGACCATGTTATGATCCTGAGCAAAATCATACAGTCTTTATTTTGAGCATGATGCAGCAAATGTGGAACCTTTTTAGGGCAGTGTCAATAGAGATACCAGCTGACGTCATGGAGTGCCAGTATTCCACCTCATTGAGGGTTTTATGGTCAGATCTGCTTAGGTAGTTTTGAAATATTTTTCTCTCTCAGCGGCTAGAGTGGAAATCCTTGAATGTAATAGTGATAGTTGTTATCGGAGGAACCTAGGCTGAGTCACTATATGATGATGTCACTTTTCTGTGACAAGGAGCAATGAAAACAGTTCAGTTACACACACTGACAGATCTGGAGTTTAATTAGACAGCTCCCCCATATTATGTCTGAAAGCATGGACACACGTTACCAGAAGGGCTTTATAAGATTAGTCTGAATGTATTGTTTGGTGCTGTTGGACCTCACAGCGGGAGACACCTCAGCACGCTGACGGCACATGAGCAGCCTTTAAACCAAGCAGGAACAATGGAGACAGCGAGGCGTGCCGAGTCCTGACGTACAGTTTCTCTGTGTTTGCCTGGTCCCTGCTGCCATATGTACAGAAGCTTCTGCCTCTTTGGCTACAAAGCCTCGCCATGCGTCAGGATGCTTTGTCTTTTATTCCCCAGACATTGCCCCCTGCTCCACGAAACCTTACAGAGGCTGGCCCTTGACCTTTGCACAGCGTCTAGACAAAGCAGGCCGACACACCCTCTGGCAGGCAGGATCATTGTCCCGCACACTTGTTGAGAGAGAGAGAAAGAGAAAGAGAGGGAGAGAGGGAGAGGGAAAAAACCCTTTCATTGTTGCACATTTATTGAAAACAAACCACAGAACTTTGGGTGGAAAATCTATTTGTTTAGCTGTTTTCAGCACAAAGGCAGTGCAGACAGTACAAAGAAAAGGTCTTCCTCCAAAGATATGAGCAAAATAAGAGAACGTTTTGAGTAATATAAAGTTTAAATATTGTGTACGAATGCCAATTGAGAAAATACATTAAGTAAGTTGGCTAAAACATATTATTCCATCTGAGATGGATGCTCATTAAGGTTTTTGTTTATTAAATAAACATGAGAAATTAAATTAAATCATTATGCTTCGTGAAATATGGTTAAAAGTTATTTAATATCCAACTTGGAAAATATGATTAACAGATTCAAAGTTTTATATAAAAATTAAAACATTAAGACAAACCAGTGGCAGATTTTTATATGATGTGTCCTAATCATGCTTTTATTGACACAGCATTCATACATATTTTATGATCAATTTTGGATTTACAATATGAAAGGTAATCATTTCAAATGCATTAAGAATGGAAGTGAATTTTGTTATGGTTAGGGTTTGTGAAAATGAGGTCAAACAGAATGTCCCAAACCACACCCCACTAACTTTAATCCAGATAGTGTTTAAAAGAAAGAAAAAGCTACCTCCATCTTTTGTAAGAAATGTCACAAAAACTTTTTTTTTAAAAAGCAGCATCATACCAGCTCCAGCAGGAAGATGAGACTTTTGAAGACGTGACATGACAGTCACGTGTGTTGTGTTTTGAGGTAACCTTCTGAAACTCCAACTAAATTCCTGTTTCGGGCTGTGACACATCCAACCACCGCGTGGAGACATCCACCCATATGTCAGTGCATCCACCAGCCTCCGGGCCCCGGATGAGGGCAGGTGTCGGGGGGGTGGGGACAGTCGCTCAGGTGACCGAAGCCAACTCCCCCTAAAAGCCAAAACATTCATCCACTGACAGAGAGAGATCCACTCAGACCCAGGCCGGCTGCACCCAGGTGTCATGATTGGAAATTTGGCCTGAATGGCCCCGATTTAGGGAGTTATTTAATAATCTTTATTGTTTTATTCCTCTCTTATGTCATAAGATACATTGCAAGAAAAGAGCTTCTGAATTAGATAATGGATAGTCTGCATGAATGGAGCTTCAAGTCCAAGAAAATGGACCTGGAGGAAGAGGAGGAGGATTTCTACTTCGACTACGGAGCGGAGGAAATAACAGATTATCAAGACCCCTCTGAACTTCTGGCCGCTTTGAAACAAAAGGAGGAAGAGGTTATTTTGGCAGCGCAGCTGGGAAACGCATTGCTCCTGGAGAACCGTCAGCTCAAAGCGCAGAGCGAAAAGCTCCGCGAACAGTACGCAGACAAGCTGGAGGTAAGACAAAAAACAGCCTTTGTCGACCGCTTTTTTAAGGAAATTGATGATAATAATAAGGGAGCGTAACAGGTGAAATGGCCCGCGTTCTTCTAAGTTTCGACGCGCTGGAGGCTGAGGGCTGAAAGTAGGCGGGCGAAACTGGGGGAAACGGTCCTTTTTTTTGTTTGTTTGAAAAGGAAAAAGCTATGCTACAGATATAACTGAAAAATTAATGAGCTTTTAGAGCTGCTATCAGAAGAAGGTACGGTATAGAATACTGAATTACAGTTATTCAGGTTGTGTTTTGATGGATTTTTCATCTGTTTCTAGAGTTTACAGCACTTTTTTAAGCAGACATAATACTGTGACAGTACTGATCCATCCCTTGTCTTGAGGACAGTTAAGTGCTTATATATATATATGCAGAATAAAAGGGGAAACGTATAACTTGATCAAGCTTGATTGTAAATATTTTGGTACAAGAACATTCATTTTTCAGCACATTCAAAACGCTCATGCTCAACTTTTCTTTTATTTCCTTAGTCTTCAGGAATAGTTATCTGAGGTTCTTCAAAGACATCCCGAAGCTCTTCTTTGGATGTTGGCTCTCTTTTGTTCTGTTCTCCATGATCCCACACAGCTTCAGTTAATGTTGAGGCTCTGGTTAGGATTCATTCCTCATTCAGACCTGTTGCCACTGATTCTTTTTTTTGAAGACCACTTTTTGTCATTTAACATAGCTTAGCTTTCCTAATGAAGTCGGATCAACTGCAGGCCTAGAATCACCTCTCAGGTCTTTGGTCTCACGTTCTGCTCTAGCTTTTTAAGGCTGGACACACAGTTTTCTCTCGACTTTTGGGACTCAAATTCCAGAGGAAACATTAGCGGGTAACTTGATACCCACTGGGTCAGAATGATCTCTTTAGAAGTCAAGAGTTCCCACGATTTTAAAGTTTAGCCACTCATCGCAAGTGTAGCCTGTGACAGCGTTTGTTTTGGTTGCGCAGAAACACAAACCAGAATGGTCACGACAGACTAATAACATCCTTGACAGTTTCTCAGGCTGAGAGGTGATGTCACACTCCGACATTCTCTTCTGAATCTTATCAACTGTGACCATCACTGGAAATGGTTCTCGGGACAAAAACTTGTGAAGTGGTTTACAGTACAAACATCAGGCTCTCAGCACGGTTCCTGTATTGACTCACCAGATGCCATCAGCTTTTTTACTATTTGGAGTATAACAATTCTTTATACATATATTGTAATGTACTGTGATTTGCTGCCACCTGTGCTTAGGAGCTGGAGCAGGGACGACATGAGGCGCGACTGAAGCTGGAGGGCAGCCAGTCCCAGTGGGAGAGCCAGGTGGGGGACCTGGAGAAGGATGTGAGGGAGCTGAGCGCCCGGGTGGAGCGGCTGACGCGGGCGCTCGCCGAGGCCGAGAAGGACAAGAGCCGAACCCAGATGGAGCACCAGGAGCAGACGCAGCGCCTCAGGGAGGAGCTCCACACCGTAAGTGCCTCGTGTCCGAGTCTGAGAGGTAACTCGGGGGTGAGAAAAAAAAAAAAGAGCCTGTCCAGCTGAGACGTGTGACGGAGCTCAGGTGGAACAAACACCTGCTGTTGGTGCCGGGCTGCAGATTGTCTGAGTCGGTGCAGATAAGTGCGATCGTCACCAGGTCTACTCCTTTCTACTCAGCCGCTCGGGTCCCGAAACCAGACTCCCAGGCTGCTGATAGGCTCAGAGCAAGGTCGTGGGGAAATGCTTTTTGTACGAACATGAGAATCTTTTTTTTGTTTTGTTTTTTCTGAGCAGACGTGAAGTTAGTCAGCTCACTTTCTGAGTTGTTGGCCTTGAGTAAGAGACCCTTACTGTTTGGATTTGGATGGAAATGAGAGGAGTTATTGGTGTCAGTTATTTAAGATTCAGAGGCAGGAAACATTAGAAAAACTCTTTGGGCCGCAGATTTAACTTAACGATAATTGTCACGATCTCCATTTTTTCAGAGCTTGATCGTCTCTTGATTGATTTTTTCCCCCTTTGCCCTAGACACTTTACAGACTCTTGAACCACCTTGTTGAGTAACCTGACTTTAATACCTTCATGACGTAATGGGTACAAAATCTGACAGCATACTGCTGACTCAAATCATTCAGCTTAGATGTTAAATATTTATGATCTTTGGGGTTTGATTCCAAGGAAACCCTGTTCACTGGTAGGAAAATAAAACCAGCTCCATTTACTTTTACAGCTTCTTATCAGTAAACATGAAGGAACTGATTGGGTCGCTCAGCTGGACAACCTTGAGTATTTTTCCAGCCTCAGCGAGAATAAACTGTTCCTCCAGACACTGCATTGGTGACGTCTTGTGCTCCACTCCACTGAACATTTAGCAAATGTGTTCCCTGTGTACCTGGGCTCAAAGTTAAAAATGAATCCATGCCTTACTTTGACCCACCCACAAGCCAATGATCACAGAATAAGAAAGCAGGAATGTCTCATCCCCTTTGTGGTCAGCCTCCGTTGAAGTTCAGGAAAAAGTCAATTTAGATAAAAGCTTGTATGAGCCGTTTGAGGAAGAAGGAAGTGGAGGAAATGTTTGACTTTGCTCACAAGTCCTGGACATGGGAATCTTTGGAAAAAGAAACTGATGAAAAGCAAATTATGAGAGAGCTCCATGTCTGGTGTGCCGGTCCCTGACGTGGTGAGGAGTGTGGTTGTACCGCTGCCCGCTGGGGTGAGTTGGGTCAGTTTTTTTTTTGTATGATTTGTATGATTTTTTTCAGGCTGTGAACTTAAATTTGGTAGCTTGTGACTTCTGTTTAGTTTAGGCTGCAATTCAGCCCTAGGGTTGTCCCAGTGGACGTTCATTCGCAAGGGTTGGAAAAAGATTAAAGCAGCACAGTTGTGTGCCATGAAAGGCAAAACTTTGAGAAGTTGACACTTCTCAGGTCTATAACCCTTAGCAAAATTTAATTTAATTTATTGGATTTATTAGGAAAGTTTAAAAATCAATAGTAAGAAATTTGTTAAAAGGTTTGAATTAAAACAATATCACTCCTGAACCTTTTCTTCTCTTTTGGAAAAAAAATTAAATCCAATTTGGCAAAAAAAATGGTGCTTTGAACTTGACTGAGAAGGAAACATGAAGGCACTGAAACTAACTGTTTTGGTCAGAAATATGATCACACCAAGTTTCTATGTGCTGCGGTTCTATCTGGGTTAGCGTTGAACACTGCCATCGTTTTAAGAGCGTAAACAGAGCATGACAGGAATCTGGAGGAGGGTGTTGTACTTTCACCACAGAAACCCGAGAGAGAAGGAATTCAGCACCAGCAGCATCGAACGGGCTGAGATCTAAAAGATGGACAGGGGGAATATTTGCTGTGTGGCTCAGTTTCGGTGCGTATGAGGAAACAGCTGCGTGAAAAAAATGCAGATGTGTGCCAGATTGTCACATGATTCCGAAGTGGCTGTTTAAACAGGAGCTGAGGTTTAGAGCGGCGAAATATGATGTCAGGGTGTTTTTTTTGTTTAAAAAAATCTTTATGACATTTCTTTTCCAGCAACTGTAAAAACATTGGAATTCTTCCATTAAACATTAAGCACTGGGTCTTATGTTTGATATCTCAGTTTGTAAGGAATTTACTCACTTTAATGGGATTTCCAAGACATTACACGTATTTTGGAGAATCCCTCAGATTATTTACAGGTATTAAAAGAAAAACAAGGTTTAAACATTTTAATAGATTTTGTCTGACTTCTGTGCAACATTATCAGTCTATTATAAATCTGAACAGAACCAAATCTGATGGTCAGGAAATTCCGGTCTGGAAAAGGGCTTCATTTTGATAAGCTTTCCTAGAACTGTTTACTCACTTATAAAGAAATCTATATGATATACTCCGAAATATTTAAGGACGTTGTCTGCGGAAGAAATAGTTCCAATATTAAACTAGAATACTAAAACAATCTGCTGTGAAACGGCTTCATTCTGATCTGAGGGAAAACTGTCAAACTCCAGATAAACTATTTCCTTTGTGTCTTTGACCTGGTATCAGGACACAGCAAAGCATTACAGGACTAGTTGATGAAATTACATCTTCTGTCCGGTCATTCTGTCAGGTTTTGTTTTCACTATCGCTGCCAACATCTTTTATGTATAACTTTAAGCACTCTCCTCAGGATGCTTGACCTCTATAGCATTACTCACTCCTCCCTGGATGGGTCTCCCCCCTTTTTACTCCTATATTATTCTCTCAGAAAACACTTCCTGCCACATTTCGGAATGAAGTTCCAGATTGAAACTAAAACCTTACCAACATGGAAGACAAGCGGCTGTCTTCATAGAGAGTTATACAGGCTTATAATCCATCAAAAAGAGTTAGTTAACTTTAATGCTATCACTTGTTTCTATGATAATGTTACTTTTGGCTCATAGGTAAAAAAACTATCTTAAATTTGTACTGTTTGCAAATTGTTTAATGAAGAGTAACATACTAAAATATGAATATGAAATCTAACCATTTTAAAGTCCGGAAAACTAATATTGTATATTTTTGTCAGTTTGAATATGTTTCCTTACGTTGTGTTTTCAGTTTGTATCAAAAGGTGTCCGTTTTGTGTCAAGATAACCTTTGACTTGACGCGTTACCTTTTCACCTCTTGCTTTCCATCCATTGTCACACGGGCTGTAGATCATGGCGTTTCATTGGACAGCTGCGACAAATTGCTCTCTGGTGGTTTCAAACCACTCTGTGGGTTTAGACGAGCGCCCGTGACCTCTGCACCTTCTTCCAGCGTCACCCAGCTCTCTTCCGAAAAGAAAAAGACAATATAGAGAGATGTATATCTGTAATTTTCTCCTTTCTGTTGCCGGCTTTCATCCCTGCGTCCCAGGGGAGAGCCATCTTTTCGTTATTTTCCCCCGAGGGCCTCGGCTGTAGCTGGGGTCGTCAGCTGGTGAATAGCTCA